GAGCACCAGGGCACACAACGGAACCAAGGGGCATCAGGACCCCAGCGTACTGTGCGGCGCTTCACAGGGCCGCCCGCCAGTTGTCCTGGGCTGAAACTGGGGGCCCGAAGACCCCCAGGGAGAGGGCGCCTCTCACCATCCCCCTTCCTCGCGTGCGGGAGGAGGGCAGGGAATTGCGGGCGGCCAGTGGGAAAACTGGGAGGGGAAAGGGTAGGGGGCTGGGGAGGGGCTGACAGTATAACCAGAATTCTTAAGTGGACTTACCCGGCCACCTGTTGAGAATCCATTTGGTGTCGGCCGGTTCTGGAGCTGCGCGAGGGGGACCCTCAAAACCAAAAGCCGAAGTTGGGAAAAGAAAATTCTCTGGCTATGCCCAGCGTGGCCCGTCTGGCTCACAGCCCTGCACAAGGTCAGGCGGCTGTACAGCCAAAAGCGACTTTGCCAGGTCCCCGTCACCGCAGTATCCCCCTCATCTCACGTCTCCTCTGCACCAAGGCAGGGGACTCGGGCTCGTGGACTCGGAGCTCAGGGCCCAGCACTGGCCGTTCAGCTTAAGCCGGGGCAGACTTTCTAAGCAATGCTCAGAAGTCAAGAGCTGCAGCATCGCCGCCTCGGCGCAGCCTTTCAGGATGCGGTAGCTCCTTATTCTTGTGCCTCGGCCTCTCTGGTCGCCCCCGGACAAAGCCCGAGCCCGGCCTTTCCCTTCCCGCTAAATCCTCTTCGGGGTCAATGCTCTACCAGCACTCGGCCGCGCGCTTCTTCTGCCAGCCGTGTGGCTCTTAAAGAGCCGCACCGCCCGCCCCCCCTCCGTCCCCCGCCCTGCGCGCTCCCCCGACCCCCGCCTCCTCGCCTCTCTCCTCTGAATCTAGCCCCCCACGCCGACGCCTTAGGTCCCTGCTGCCCCGAACACTGCCTGCGGACTCCTGGCCTCCTCCCCTCGCCTCCTCCCCTGAGCAGTTGGTGAGCCTGGCCTTGGGACCACAGAGCTGTTTTACCCTCTGCCTCAGGTCCCCCTTCTCTCCAACAGCGTCTACCCCTCTCTTCCTGGCTCCTGCCTTTTCCCTTTGGTTGGATCAAGGCCCCGGGACAGCCATGCCCAGTGCAGAGATGATCCCTAAAGATCATCAGTTTGGGGTTGAATTAGTGGGCCGTGGGATGGGAATGGGGTGGGGAATGCCAATTGAGGTGGGGGAAAGGGGAAGAGATAGAGGAGGAGCAGACCAGGTGGACTTGGAAAGCTCTGCTATCCCAGGGCCTACCTAGCCTTTTTGCAGAGGGTGAGGGCTGTCTGGGTACCATTCATTCCTAGAAGTGTCCTCCCTAGAATAGGGTCCCAAGGTTACCAACTTGACCAGGCTGCTTTGTTTTTGAGGAATTGTGGACATTGAGTGTGGGTGGGGATGCACCTCTAGAAGGCCACAAGTGTGGATCTGAGAGCAGCCTACTTCCCAAGCCAGGAGCATTAATCCTCCAAGTGTAACCCTTAAAAGTCCAAGAACTGTGTGAGCAAAGAGGGACCTTGAGTGAAAACTGTCCAGGGAAAAGGAAAAGGGCATCAGAGAACAGAGGGGGCAGAGAGGGAAGGAAGTCTACTTCTCTTTGAGAGGACTGAAGCACACCTTCTAGTGGGGTCCCTTCTATTTGCTGGCCAGCAATGTCACCTGCCCCACTGAGAAAAGGGAAAGTAAGATGGTGGCTTTTTGGTCTCACTTCCTTCCAGTGCACTCTCTATCTCTCCCTAAGGCCTATTTTAGTCCCAGTTTCATCCCACCAGACAATTGTTTCTGCACAGAGTGGACCTGACTAAAGTAATTTCCTCAGGCCTCCTAAAGACTGGCAGCATGAGTAAAGAGAGTCCAGAGAGGCCAGGGCTCTCTGAGAGGGGTTGCAAGTAAGCCAAGGAATGCTGGGGGACCTTGCCTTTCCTAGTGCCAACTGTCACAGCATTTGATTGTTTGAGCTCTGTGGATGATAGGAGCATGATTGTTTGAGTTATTGAACGTGCCCACCCTTTCTCAAATCCAAGCCCTAGCACATCAGTTTTGGCTGTCATGGGAGATCCCTACAAAGAAATAGGCAGCCTCTTGGACAGTGGAGAAGGGAAGGAAGAGGATGGAAAGCTGGACCTCCCCTGGGTATCTGCCCCCTGCCACCCTGTTAGTCCAGATGCATCTTTAAGGAACTGGGGTGACTGTTTGAAATTGGCCCTCTTGGGAGAGGTCGGCAGTGCATTCCCTGGGCGAGAACCTGAGGCTGCAGCCTCCTCACCACAATTTGCAAGGCTTACATCCCCCCATCAGTTACCTCTCTCTGTTGGGGCCGGTCACCACAGCCAGCTAGGCCAGTTTCGTGCCCACTCTTCCGGGCCCAGCAGTGAGGGGTGCGGAGGCCCAGGACAGCTAAACTTCTCCCGTTTGAGGATGTGGGGGGCGAATGGGGTCTTTGGCGGGTGGTGGGGCTCATTAGGCAGAGCGGGGTGCCGAGAGGCCGCCTTTGAGCCGTCGGGGCGGCTTCATTAAGCGGCGCTAACAAGGCACACAAACGCCGGGCCGACAGCTTTCTTGCATTGCCGGGGCCTTAGCAGGGCGCCAGGCTAATGAGGGTCACTCAAAGGGGCTGATCAAATATTCAAATTTCCCCGCTCACCGGGAACTTTTATGTGCGGAGAAAGTTGAGGCAACTGAGCTGTGTTTACTGTCCCAGGCGACAATTGCACGGAACCGGGCCCCCCAGGCCCGGGGAAGGGGGGCGGGAGGCGGGGTGGGAGGTGTGGGCAGGGGGCGGGGGCGCAGTAGTCGTTGTGGTTGCTGTTTCCGCTCACAGGGAAGTTCTCGGGGTCCTGGGAGGGTTTCCGGCCGTCTTGCCCGCGGCCGCCGCCCCCCCCCTCCCGCGCTCTCCCCAGCCGCGCGCTCCCAGCGCCTCGGTTCCCAGCTTTGGGGAGGCCGGATCGCAGGCCGCCGGGCCGCCCCACCCGGCCGGCTGGGCCGGAAGGGGCGTCACCCCGCCCCCCGCCCAGACTAGTGCACCCGGCAAAGCGAGGCCGCGTGGGCGCCCTTGCCCAGCCCTCCAGTCCTGCTTTCCTGGAGGCTTGCAGACACCCTAGATTTTACCGGTACCCCAGGAAAGAGAGTCTCTCAGGCGCCTCTCCTGGTGGGGTTGAAACTGCTGGGTTGGGGCTGCATTTGTAAATGCCCAGTGGGTCTTGGGGGGGTTGGGCACTCTCCGAAGCATCCTTTCTCCCTGCACCACCTGTACACCCAGGATTGAAGTAGGGACGATAGTGGCAATTTTGTGACCTCGGCCGGGGCAGGCGCCAAGTTCCAAACCCCCTAGTCTGAGCAGTCGGAGGGCAGGAGAGACCTGGAGGCCCCGTGGCTTACCTAGCCATCCAAATATCGCCGGCCTGAGAGACCCAGGGCGCAGGTGCCCCCTGCGCGCCACTCCTACAGGCACCCTCGGTCTCACCTCCCCGCCCTTGCCTGCTCAACGTCTCCGGCCGGGAAGGCGGCCTGAGTCCCGGAACCCGAAGTCCTCTACTCCCACCTCCTCCCCAAGGTCCAGCGCCGGAGACTTTGGAGGGGACGGTCTGACGCCCCACAGCCCTCACTCCAACATACACACATGGTCAGCACTCCTAGCCCAAGACCCTGCGAAGCCCGCGCTCTCCGCTCCGCAGAGAGCCAGTCCAGTCGTCCGCACCACCCTCCCCAGCTCTCGGGACTCTCAACTTACGGGCTCCGGGCGGCGGGCGTCGTGCTTCAGGACAGAACGGAGAGGCACGGGTAGCCCGGGGCCGCGAAGTGGGCTTGGTGGGTGGCGCGGAGGTCGGTTCTGCAGGGAGTCTCTGACAGCCCGGGGCTGCCCGGCCGCCCGGCCCTGTCCCGGCGCACAAAGCCGCGCGCTTTGCACTCCCAAGCGGTGGCCGCCACCAGAGCAGCCGGGGTGCGGCGGGGTCCGTAGGCGCCCCTGCCGAGACTGGGTGTCGCCGAACTGAGTCTCAGCCCCACTTGCCTCAGTTCTCCCGGGGTGGTGATGGTTTTCGATTTCAGCGCATAAGGCAGAGCCCGCGGCACCTGCCCTGCTTCCCTCCCGGGCGGGCCCAACAGCGGCGGGGCGAGGGCAGGTCGCCCCCACCCGGAGGCGGGGGTTGTGGAGACTGGGAGGGGACTGGCTGGGTTCACCCGCCCGCCCGGCGCCTGGGTCCTCGGCTCCAGGGGATGCAGTTTCGGGGTCACGAGCTGCTTTCACAAAGTTGAACACAATATTCGGAAACCCACCCGTAGGAATTCTCCCCCCACACGCGGCACAATACCCACTCCCCTCCCCTTTCCCATTCCTTCCTCCCCGCTTCCTCCTCCTGCCCCTTTCCCCTCCCACCCTCCGCGTATAATCCTTCTCCTCCGAGAGAAAGAGATCGGGAAGAAAAGATGAAGCGTCTGTTTTTGTGTCCCAACCTTAGGGCTCTTTCTGGGCCCTCAGGAACGACCGCCCAGAGCTTCGCAGCTAAGCAGAAAAGGACTCCAGGCCAGGAGGAAGATATATGGAGGGGAGAGAGCACCAGAAGTGGGGTTTGGCCAGTCTTCCACTTGGGCGAATATTTCCCTGACTCAGCCGGTTTAGTACCCGCAACCCTAGCTGCCCCGGACTGAGAGCCGTTATTGGCCCCCTCGCCAGCCCGGAGCCTCCCTACCGCTTTGGAGCCTCCAAAGAAGCTTGCACTTCTCTGTGCAGGAGGCCTGGCGCTGCAGGAGTCAAGGCCTAAGCAGGGCCCGAGCGCTGGGTTTAGGGCCTGGGACACTCGCAGCCACAGTCACGTTACGTTTCCCATTTAAATTCTCTCTCAATCTTTCTCCTTCATTGAGATCTCCAAAGTGGTGTGGACTCGCTGCCTCACCCCCAGATCTGCATCGGAATGTAGAAAAGATCTTTTTTCAAAAAAAGTTTTGAATTCCTCAATGATTTTTCTTCTGGAAAGGCAGCTTAGGATAATTATTTCAGCTTTATTGAGGGCAGATTAGTTGAAGTCTGGACGCTGCGTTTCAATACGCGTTGTACACGGGCCGACAATGTGGGCATTGTTGGCTACTGTGTGTGAACTCATTCAAAATATACACTTTTTAACACCAAACCGAGTCCTGTCCAAATATACACAGTGCTGGGGGAAAGACGTCTGTGACCCCGACAAATCTGCGTAAATCACACTTCCATAGTTTCAGAAGCCTCACAAAGAGAGGCCTCAGCTCAAGGCGCTGATTACGTCTTCTTAAAAGCGACATACCTTAGAATAAATACCCATGCCGGGCCTGGGGTTGCAGTGGCCAGAGGAAGGGAGGGCCCTCTCCATTCTGTGAGCCTTTTGGGGGCTCTTTTTGGTTTATGGCTTTACTTTATTTAGAGAAATTAGAGTTTCTTTGTTTTTTCCTTTACATTATAAGCAAACAACATTTCAGGCCTATCTGCTTCTTTGGGGGCAGCCTGCAAAGGTTTGAGAATTCTGGAGCTGGTAGGCAGGCCCAGAGCTCCTTGGAGGGGTAGGGGTGGGGGTTAACAGGTATCTGGGTTGGGGTAGGGGCGTTCAGAGGTCTCCCAGGCTTCTCAGCTCTGCAACTTCCTCCACAGCTCCTTGGGGAAGGCAGCTAAAGTCTGGGGGAAAACAAAGAGGTGATTTGTTTTTAAGATAGAAATAAGTGTACTGTTATTTCTACTGCTATTTTAAAATACAGGGAAATAGGGGAAATGAAGGCTACCTGACTGGGGGCAGAGTAAAGAGAAGCCAAATTCAACGGAGAGGAAGTTGGAGTAAATGTGGCTGAAGATCATCCTGGAGACAGGAGGTCAAAGCTGCTTCCAGGACCCTGGATCCTGGGCTCGGGCTCCCAGGGGCCAGATGCGCCCCGAAATCTAGGATCCCGGGCACAGCAGCCCGCAGGGCCACGGACAACACTTGGTAGCGCCCATGATCTCGTCTCCTTTCTTCATCGCCGCTGTTAGTGCTTATATAGGCAGAAAGCGTAGGCCCGACGTGCATACAGTGCGCAAACCGTGCGTGCTCCCGTGGCCCTTGGCCTTCCTGTGATGTGGGGAGCCTGTTACCCCAACAAAATCCCCCCATCCCCTTTAATTGCTCATCGCATTCAACAACTCAATGCCCATGGCTTTTTGAATTTCTGGATCAACTTCTTTGGGGGAAGAGGGAGGAAGGGAGCCCAGAGCGAGAAAAGCAGAGAGAGAGAAAAAGTGGGTGGGGGGGGGAAGTGGCAAGATTAAGAGTTGCAAAGATTTTTTAAAAATTCTCTTTCTCCCCCTTCTCCCTCTTTCCCTCCTCACCCCCTCCCCCCGACTCTGGCTAAGTGGTAAAACCTTCCTTACGTTCTCGGTATTGATTGGCAGGGCTGACAGTGATTGGCAGCGGTTGCCGTGGCAACGCCACAACGACACGCCGCAGACCAATAGAAAAGCGAAACAAAATGTTTCAATGCTGCACTCACTGTGGATTTAGGGGAGATATTATGAGGCTGTTGTCATTAGGGCGATTGCTGTGGAATCGCTGAATCTTGACTCGGCGGTGGTTGGCCCTCGCTCTCCTCTCTCCCTCTCCGTCTCGGGTTCTCTCTGCGCGCGCGCGCCGGGCCGCTCTCGGTTCCTCCCTCTATGTGGCTGCGCGGCCGTGTGTGTGTGTGGGTGTGTGTGGGGTGCGGGTGTCCCCTACGCCCTTCCTCCTCCCCCTCCTCCTCCCGCTCCCCCCTCCTGTCCTCCTCCTCCTCCCCCCTCGCCTCTCCCTCCTCCTGGTCCTCATCGCCCCTCTCCTCTTCCTCCCCTCTCTCTCCCTCTCCCTGAATTTTGTCCTCTCGTCTCAGGTCAGTCCATGGTATTCCGCTCCCCCCTAGACCTCTATTCCTCCCACTTCTTGTTGCCAAACTTCGCCGATTCTCACCACCGCTCTCTACTTCTGGCGAGTAGCGGCGGCGGGAGCGGTGCGGGCGGCGGCGGCGGCGGCGGCGGCGGGAACTGTGCGGGAGGCGGCGGTGCTGGCGGAGCAGGCGGCGGCGGCAGCGGCGGCGGCTCCAGGGCCCCCCCGGAAGAGTTGTCCATGTTCCAGCTGCCCACCCTCAACTTCTCGCCGGAGCAGGTGGCCAGCGTCTGCGAGACGCTGGAGGAGACAGGCGACATCGAGCGGCTGGGCCGCTTCCTTTGGTCGCTGCCCGTGGCCCCCGGGGCGTGCGAGGCCATCAACAAGCACGAGTCGATCCTGCGCGCGCGCGCCGTGGTCGCCTTCCACACGGGCAACTTCCGCGACCTCTATCACATCCTGGAGAACCACAAGTTCACCAAGGAGTCTCACGGCAAGCTGCAGGCTATGTGGCTCGAGGCGCACTACCAGGAGGCCGAAAAGCTGCGCGGCCGCCCGCTCGGCCCGGTGGACAAGTACCGCGTGCGCAAGAAGTTCCCGCTGCCGCGCACTATCTGGGACGGCGAGCAGAAGACGCACTGCTTCAAGGAGCGGACTCGGAGTCTGCTGCGGGAGTGGTACCTGCAGGACCCCTACCCCAACCCCAGCAAGAAACGCGAACTGGCGCAGGCCACCGGCCTCACTCCCACACAAGTAGGCAACTGGTTTAAGAACCGGAGGCAGCGCGATCGCGCCGCGGCGGCCAAGAACAGGTCAGTGGCGGGACCCGAGGTCGGGCTACAGTCTCGGGCTGGGGAGTGGGAAAGGGTTTGAAATGCGCGGGCAGGACAGGGTGTGAGAAGTCACGACCTCTTGGCTGTTGGAGAAAGTTTCCACTTACCCAGATGAACACAAGAGGGGCGGTCTCTGGGTTTACTGCTTGCGTTGCTGGAGAGGGGCTTTCCTCAGGGTGGAGAGTGTGTGTGTGTGAGGTCATGAGTGCCCACCGCCTCTGGTCCCATTCCCTGGGAGTCAGCTCTGAGCTGCACCCAGCTGCCTCCTCAGCCGTTCTCCAGCTCCGTGCTCCTCTAGAGCCTTCCCACAGGAAAGGAAGGAAAAGGATTCTTGCCATCTAGTTCTTACTCCTGCATTGCCAAACCCCCGGGGGAGGTTGTGGTGGAGGATCCACAAATGTCCAGGAGAGGAAACTAAATCTGGGTCCCTGCCACAAAAGAGCAAGGGCGGTGACCACGATGCTGTGGGCCTCCTTCCCTCAACATTGCAGGTTGCCTGACCAGGAGCAGGGAACCAAGCTGGGAGTAGAGCGGCTGTGTGTGTGTGTGTGTGTGTGTGTGTGTGTGTGTGTGTTGGCCCTCCTGCATCCCCTAGTTCCACTAAATTGGGAAGTGGACAGAAGCAGGTAAAGCCTTTCTGACAGCAAGTTGGCCACCAAGTCACAAAGTTGTGCTGGGCCTGACCAGTCAGTTGACTTGGGCCTGGGGCAAGTAGGGAGAATAAAAACTAGAGGGAAAGAGGGGGGAAGAGGAGAAGAGTGGTGAGAAAAGGGAGAAGGGAGAAGGTTGGCTAAAAGCCTTGATAAGGAGGTCTGTGTTGCTACCTAGCCTGGAAAGGCTGGGCCTGGTATGCTGCAGGGAACAGAGCCACAACTGCTGACAGCTGCAGGGGCCTGGAAGCTGGATGTGAGTTCCTAGTGTGAGTGAGTGTGTTCCGTTTCAGGTGGCCCAGGCCTGAACCCTGGGCCCTCTCACCCTTGCTTGTGGAGCCAACTTTTCGCCCAATGGGGGGAGTGCCCTGGGCTAGGGGAAGGCCTCCTTGTGGGGAGAACTCAGAGACACTAGGTGCTGCAGCCGCTGCCTGGCCCAGGAAAGGGGCCGCCAGAGTCTGCTTTGCACTTCCCCCTGCCTTCTCCTTTCCCCCTCTCCCTGCCTTCTCTTTAGCCACTGTTTTAGCTCAGAACTCCTTCGTTTTCTCTTCCCCTCCTCCTGCGCTCTGCTCATGGAGCTTGTGAGCAAAGCCAGCCGGTCCTACACGGGAGAGGCGGCGGGTGAGCAACCCGCACTTCTGGGTGTGCTTCGAAGAGCTGGGGCAGGAGGCACTGCGGGCACCGGACCGCTCCTGCGGAGGCCTGCTCGGTCTGAAGAGTTCCAAGGGCTGGGGAGGAAAAAGAACCCTGTTTCCTTAGGAGTTGAGCTTCTTCGGGGGCCCCGCGTCCTTCGCCGCGCGCTCTCAGGCCTCCCCAGGAGGCGGGCCTCGGGCTTTCCCTCTCCGCCGAATCCGGTCCGGATCTGGGAAGCCTCGGGAAGCTTCAGAGAGCCCGGGGAGAGGAGCCGAGGGCAAAGGCCCGCGCTGGGGAGGCTCAGAGAAGTATACGGAGTCTGGAGGAGCGGGTGCCAGCGGAGAGCGGTGTCGGGGGGCGGAGGCGAAGGGCGCGGGGTGGGGGAGACCGGGAGCTTGGGTGGCGTCAGGCCGCGCTCCCCGCAGCGCGGGCGCAGGGAGGCGGCCTGGCGGAGCCGGGTGGCGGGGCCTGTGTGTCAGGGAGGGCGCCGCTCTCTGTCTCCCGCAGGCTCCAGCACCAGGCCATCGGACCGAGCGGCATGCGCTCGCTGGCCGAGCCCGGCTGCCCCACGCACGGCTCGGCAGAGTCGCCGTCCACAGCGGCCAGCCCCACCACCAGCGTGTCCAGCCTGACGGAGCGCGCGGACACCGGCACCTCCATCCTCTCGGTAACCTCCAGCGACTCGGAATGTGATGTATGATAGCCAAGGCTGCCCTCCACCCCTCTCCCCCCCTTCGCCGCCCCCTTCCCGCCCTCCTCCTCTTCGTCCTCTCCCCCGCCATCCTCGAACAAACCGAAATCAGGATGCACAATTATACACACACACAAGTACACACACACTCCCACCCCAGCCAAGAATACATAAAAACCAAGAAAAATAAACGCGAACCGTCAACAACCCCAACCGCCATCTACTACCACGGCCACCCCAAAGGACCGCGACGCCAACAGACAGTCACAAACGCTGATGTTGCGGGCAGAGAACATAAAAGAGGTGACAATTGTATACTTTCTAGGACAAGCACGGCTTCTCCTTTCGGTTCCCACGGACCCGGCACCCCACCTGCATGACGATTTATTTGTATCTGGGAAAATATTCTCTCTAGTTTAAAACGATTTAAAAAGAGTCGACTATACAAAAACCGACCACCACTACGACGACAAGACGACAAAAGCAAAACAGACAAAAAGAGGGAAAAAAAATAAAACCGCCATCTCCGTTCGGAATTTGTTTTAAAAAAAAACTTGAGAGGGAAATAGCAAATGTTTCTCGCCTTTTGTTGCTCCCTCTCCTTTTTCCTCTCGTTCTCTCTGTTTTTAAGTCCAAGTATTGGTCAAACAAGATGCAATCTTCTGTTTTTTTGTTCAGCAGACAATCATTTTCCTCGTAAGCACCTTTTTCTCTCCACTCTGTCACTGCCTGTGTGGGTACTGGTTATAAATGTGGAAAAAGAATAGTTATGACTGTAACAGATTTTTATTTTTATTTCAAAATTTTATATGAATTATGTATATCTTAATGATCAGTCATTTTCCCAGTTTGTAATATATGTGTAGAGACTGCCTGTAAATGATAATGCTTTTTCTCTCTCCCTTTTTCTTTCTCTCTTCTCTCTCCTTCCTCCCTCCCCGCTTACCTCCTTCCTTTTTGGGGTTCCCCTCCCACTCGGTGTTCCGGGCGTCTTCTTGCAGTCCAGGCGTGGCGTGGTGGGCTGGGTTAGGAAGAGGGACCCCATCGCGGAAGCGGAGAGTGAGACCGTAGTATTATTCTTATGCAAAAGCTGTTTCAAAGTATTTCTTAGCTGCTTTGGAGATATCGCTCACTCCCCGTAGGGCGCTTTTACTGTTATCTTAACTGCGTGTTTATCTATATGTAAAAACTTTCTAAAGCAAATACAGTATTCTCCATTTTCGTATCACTCCCCGAGACTGGTGTTTTTGTCTGCCTCTGTGCCGCAGCCCCGGGGTGCAGCACCCGGCCTCCGCTTCTACTCAGGCTATGCCGCCTCAACTGGGGCAGAATTTTAAGGCTGGGTCTGAGCTTTTTCCTGGGAGTTGGGGCAGGGTAAGACGGGAACAGGCCCCTTTGGAGAAGAACCCAAACCAAATCTGAGCTCAAAGAACCGAGAGGGCGCAAAGGGAGGGGGCCTTCGCCGTTTTCCTCAGCGACAGGCGGGGTCCCCAGGACCTACAGCCTTGAGGGTCTCTAGGGTGTGTTTGGCGTCTTTCGGTTCTGGTTGTTCACCCCCTCTTTTTTTAAAGGGAAATCACACAAAGTCGCCAAACCCAAGTATCCATCCCAGCTGAGCTGACAGATTTTTCCTTTTGTGGGAGGCGGGGCCCGGGGAACTACTGTAGTCGGGGTGTGGAGGGTAGAGAGTGAGGGAGAAGGTAGCTTGAGTTTAGGACCTAGAATCAGGACGGACCCTCCTCTGCACGACCCTTGTCTGCCTCTGTGTGACTGCGTGACATGCCTTGTGTGTCTCGACCTGTCTCCTTTATATTTCCTCTCATTTTGGGGGATCAACTGGAGTCTCTCGAGCCGAAACATTTCAGAGCTGGTTTACACCTTAAAACGAAAACCAAAAAAACCCACCACCTTTTGCTAATCAGGTTCCTGCTGCGGCGAGGCCTCTCCGCCCTGCACCGGGCCCCCCACAGTTCCCTGTGACGGCGTGGCTGGCGGCGCCTCTGCCGCTCTGGGCCAGGCTGGCCTGTGCCCGAGGAGGAGCAAAAGAGATAATTTCAGAAAACTTGCCTTCACT